GCCGCCTTTTCCAGCCATGGGTGAGCTCTACGCTTCAGCAACAAGACCCTGTAGATCTGGAGAGCACTGGGACTGAGGGGAGCATTTCTATGGACTTGGAGCCTTCCATATACTATTCTCAGCCTCTGATGAGACCAATAATCAAGCAAGAAATCTCAAATTCCATGAGTACTTCTGAAGAACGGGGTGGTCCTTTGGGGCCAGTCTCCTCCAGGCACGCCTTCCTGCCGTGGGCAAACCCGAAATTTGAGCAACAATTCTCTGCGGGTCCAGAGAGTGTTGCCATCCAAGGGCATATTCCTGGGGAGCTTCCCAGACATCTTCCCCAGGCCACTATGAGACAGAAGGTCCAGACCATGTTCTCAAGTCTCGAGGGTGCTACTGTTGAGGGAGGCATTTCCGAGGAGGAGTCACTGTCTCCCACACATCCCTCCCATTTCTTAGTGAGATCTAAAGTTCAGGAAATGCCCTCAACCCTAGAGAGTGCTGCTGCTGCTGAAGAAAGCATTTCTAAGAAATTACGGCTTCTGAAGAGTCCTTCCCACTCATTCCTGAAGTTCATGGCACAGCAAATCTTTTCAGATAGCTCTAGTACTGAGAGGGGAATTTATGTGCGTCCTCCGTCTCCAAGTCTCCCTTCCAAATCTTTGTTGAGGCCTGAAGTTGAGCACCAAGTTTTCTCAGGTTGGGAGAATCTCGACATTGCTGAAAGCATTTCTTTGAAGCATGCTTTAAAGTCCCTGGGGAGGCCTGCAGACCCACAGGAAAGTCTGTCATTTTCAGAGAGGGCTCCTATGAAACAGAGCAGTTCTAAATGGCAGGTACCTTCCTGGCATTCCCCAGGGAGCCTTAGGTACCAGCCAGACGTCTCCTCAGTTTCTGGCATCTCTTCTGAAGAATGGAGGAGCTATGAAGAGCAGCTGCCTTCCAGACACCCTTCTGAAGCCTTAGGTGGGTTTGAATTCCTGCCACCAGCAGGCTCAGTGAATGTCCCTGTTCAGTGGAGCAACCTCGGGGAACACCAACCTCCTAGGCATTTGCCCCAAGCTTTTGCAAATGCTGAGTATCAGCAGCAGGTTTATCCAGGTGCCATGAGTGCCGCTGCCGACGTCACCATCTTTGAGAACAATTCTGGAAGCTGGTTCCCACCAAAAGGCCCAGTTTCACCAACGAAAACCAAGAAACACAGCCAAGGCTCCGAAGATTTCACTCAAAGCATCTCAACCTCAGCTCCTAAGCCAGGGAAGTTTATCACTGCTCGTACCTGGAAAATACCCTTTTCTAGGGATACTTACTATAAGGGGGAAATTCTTCAGAGCGGTGATAGAAGTAATGATGATCATTCACATTTGCTCACCAGTGAAGCTGAAGCTGATGTGGAAAATCTTCCTGGAATCCAACAGAAAAGAATGTCTTCTCCACACAGCTATAAGAAGGAGAGACCAGCTAGCTTTACCCAGCTTCCTTCACTGCCCTTGGGCCCAATTTCATCCAGTAGAGGCAGAGAGCAGCAAATGAGAAGAGGTGCTTCCCAGGCGTTCCTGGACACCACAGACAGTCTCACCACACCACCTACCCGTGTGGAGAAGTATCAGAGCAGGGCCAAATATGAAGGCGTGGCCAAGAAGCAACCAACTTACAAGATCCCAGGTGAGAGTTTTAGCTCTCCAGGGCAGAGAGGTACCAAATGGAGGGGAGAACTGGAAAGAAAACCCTCGAATGGGCCTTACAGTCTATTCTAGCTTTGCCTTCTAGGGCTGGTGTGGGGACTGGGGACAGGGTAGTGCCACTTTCTTAATTCATAGATTTGGAAGGAGTTCATCTTTATTCTTCTGCCAAGGAGGCATTGTGCTGGCCATCTCTCCACATCCCATATGGATAAGTGTCCGTCTCCCCATTGGCTCTGCTCCACCCTCTGTATATCATACTTTTGGGTGGAATAGTATGCTTTGTCAAAATGCTTTTATCTGTCTTATGACCCTCCTAATTGTCATGTGGATTTTTAAAGGCCAATTAATTCAGAGCACTACGTCCAGGCTCTTGGCCTGAAATCTTAATGTACTGTAAATATACCTCCACAGTTTCTTTGCTCACCTGGAACGCCTACGATTCAGAGGTGGGTGATCTTTGGAGCAAAATTCTCTCCCCAAACCTTTGAACTTTCTCCCCGACACATACTCTTGTCTATTCCTCTAGCCGTACCTGCCTAACCACACGTTTGCAGGACGGACTATATAGTAACACACTGTATGAGATTTTCCTCAGAGTTGGAGGCATGACATCAATAGCCGAAGCCTCTGGCCATTTTGGAACTGTCTCAGTCCACCTGACAACCATCATCTTGCCCTGATTTGGGGATGGGGGGACAAAGAAAGGGAGGGGTCCAGTAAAAGGCCGTTGTGATCTTTTTTTTTTTTTTTTCTTTTTTTTGTATCGGGGATCGGACTCAGGACCTTGTGCTTGTGAGGCAGGTGACAGCACCACTGAGTTAAATCCCTGGCCCCTTTTAAGCACAGAGGGTTTTTGTTGTTTGGAGTTTTTTATTGTTGTTTCGGGGCAGGGTCTTGCTAGGTTAGTTCAGGCAGGTCTTGAACTCACGACATAGCCCAGACTGGCCTCAAACTTGCAGCCCTCCTTCTGCCTCAGGCTCCAACGTGCTGGGATGACAGGCACGCACCCCTAGGTGGGCTAAGCACCGCTTCTTAAGTACCCAGGGGATTCCTGCCTTGCCAGGTAGTAGAGAGGGCACAAAAGAAGGGGATCTTTCTTTACTTGATAGTTATTTATTTTCATTTTGCAATCAACAAGGACCCCATTTGGGCCATCACTGTGGGTAACTCCCTGCCAGATAAAACCCTGCCTGCTTTGCTTCCATTCTAATTCTTTTTATTCCTTTCTCAGGAAAACCTGTCCGGCAATCAGATTATTACGTCTCAGATCCAGCTTGGTTTACCATGGCAAGGCAGAAACACGAGGGCTCCCAGGTGTACACTCCTGTGAAAGAGACCAAGACCAAGAGCAGAGCTGGACCCAAGACTGACACTAAGGAGTATAGACATGGAACAAGACCCGAGGCAGCCCAGAAAACACCCCAGAAGGTTGCTGGAGCCACTGATTGAGCTTCCATTGGGGATTTGCCAGACATGCAGCAACCCCCCCCCACCACCAAACCAATTTGAGAGTATTAATCAAGTCAAGGAGACACTTCAGGGGACAAGACTAGGCTTTGTACTTACATAAATATAACCTGCTTTATGCAGTTAATGGGTTTATGAAAAGTAACTAATACAGGGGGAGGGGAGGATTTTATATCAAATCCTGTCCTAAATATTCTAGGGTAAG